ATCCCGAGCAAACGCGCCCGAAAACCTCGGACCTGGAACCAGAAACCTCGAGCCTCGACCCCGAACCTCGGCCCGACTGACTGCGGAACCCCTGGCGACCGGGAGAAGCCCCGGTCCGACTGTGCGTTCTGTGCCTGCCCATCGACGCCGTGCCTCGGCGGACGCGGGCGGGGCGCGCACGCCCGCACGAGGCGGCAGCGGCCTCTCTAGAGGCCTCCTAGATGGGGTCGGAGTAGATGGGGTCGAAAGATCTCGCCGCATCGCCGATACATCGGCGATGCATCGCCGATGCATCGGCGATGCATCGGCCATGCACTGGCGACGTCGGCGATATTCCCGCGACTTCGGCGTGGAGCAAATCGGGCCCCACATCGAGCCGCATCGCCGATGCATCGGCGATGCGGCGAGATCTTTCGACCCCATCTACTCCGACCCCATCTAGGAGGCCTAGACTCTCTCCTCCTCGGGGCTCTCGCCGGGGGCCCTTCGGCGACCCCCCGGGCAGTGCGGGGGGGCACTCGGGGCGCTCTCCTGGGGCCGCCTTGGACCCCCACCCCCAGTGGGATGCAGAAGGACATGCTAGGGCTCCCAACTTCGCGCTTCGCGCTGCGCGAAGCGCGAATAACTTCGCGCTCTCGCGCCGCCCTCCCAAAGGGAGAATAGGAGGACGAGGAGGAGGGGGAGAAGGAACGAGGACCGCGAAGCGCGAAGCGCGAATAACTTCGCGCCCTCGGGGGAGCCCTTGGACATGCTGGTGTCAGGTCGGGCATGTCCCCCTACAGGCGGACGGCGGACGAAACATCAAAAAATCACCCCCAAAACAGATTCAGGAACTACATGGGACAATCGTCAACAAAAAACGTCCCGGGACTCTGTGCTGACTATGTTTGGAAATTCCTCCTGTAGGGGGACTGGCCCGACTGAAAACTGGTGCTGCGCGTCCTCCTGGACGCCCGAACCGAACATGCAGCACAGACATCTTGCACCGCATCGCTTCCCGCGCGGCATGGCCAGAGAAACGACCTCAGGCCCAAATCTGGCGGGCGCAAGCCTGGAAAATGACGGCCGCGGCGCCCTCTCGAGAACCGAAAACAGACAATTCACTGATCGATGTGTCAGGGTGGGGGTTCTGTCCACCCCCGATTCTATGCGCGCGCGTCGCTCCTGTGGGGGGGGCGACGCACGCATAGATTAGCATGTTGGGGCAGCGCCAACCCAAGGCTCTGTTGGGGCTCCCTTGAGACGTCCCAGTGGGCCTGGAACCGACAAAGCAACTTCCTTTTACCGTCTTCGTTTCCCGAGGATAGGTCTTACCGTTCCCGGCAAAATGCTTGACGTGTCCGGCGCCGTTCATTTCCCCTGGAAGGGGCCTGTTCCAAATCACAGTAGCTGTACTGGATCCGAACCGTTTTCGAACTGGTTACGGACTTCCTTCGTATCCCGACACGGCCCAAGCCGTTTCGGTGAGCCGGTTTCGTCCTCAAGAACTCCGTACTTGCAAACTGTTCCAAACCCGCCCTGCTGTCTCCAGGGCCACCTTGGCGTGGGTCCCGCTGGAGTCCACTCTCGGGGGCCGTTTTGGGCCGTCGCGCAGCCATCTCGGAGGCCTCCTGGGCCGTCCTGGACGCTCTCAGGGTCGACACGGCGGGCAGGTCAACGTCGTCCAAGGAACCGCAAGCACACCCAATGCTGTGTGGCGTGTTTCTGCGGCCTCTGGAGCGTCCTCCTGGGGCCTTCGCGGGGCTTCTAGGGGAACCTCTTCGACGCTCCGGAGGCAATCTTCAGGAGAGCCCAGGATCGAATCGAGAAGTCGGAGCGGCGATCGACAGGAATCGGCCGAAAACGGCCGACGAGTCGGGGGAAGCCGAGGAGGAGATCGGCAGGCCAGGAATCCACATCGGAACCCGAAATCGAATCGCAATCGCCAGCCATCGTAATCACATCGACTCGGAACGACCGAAATGACCCCTGGATCTTGAGCGACACGGGGCTTCCGCAATCACCCTGGACTGGTCGCGGGCGCGCCCCCTGGATCACCGGGACCCTCCCTTGGGGCCCTATGACCTCCCAAAAGAGCCCCAGGTCTTGGGCTTGTCTGGGGCGCAGCTCATTCAGGGACCCCCTGCGTCAACGGCGACTTGAGCGCCAGTTCGGCGCGACAGCTACGCTCGTCGACTCGGCCCGTCAACTTGGTACGTCGAGTCGAGTCGTATCGGCAACTAGCAAAGGTCGGCAACCCGGTCCGTCAACTCGCATCGGTGCACGTGGACTCGGCGCGTCAACTCGGCGCGTCAACTCGGTTCGTCAGCCTGGTGCGTCAACCTCTTGGTCCAGGAGTGCACGCTCCAGGGTGCAGTCTACTCGGGGGAGGCTCTTTATGAGAGGAGGGCGGGCGCTGCCACGCAGACGTCGAGCCTCCACGGCGGTTCGGGAGCCGTGCGCCAGAGCCCTGGATGTCGTCCCTCGCGTATGCGCACGCACCTGTCGAACATGCATACGTGCACACACAAACACACATGTTTTGCGTCGACGGCCGGGCAGAGGGACTGCTCCAGCGATATTATACACATGCACACATATGTGTATACATACATGTATGCCTGCCTGCCTGTCTGCCTGCATACACACATACGTACATACATAAATACATACATACATACATACATACATACATACATACATACATACACACATACATACATGCGTACATACATGCATGCATATACACATACCTATATACGTACATGTATGCATGCATACACGTATACATGTATATATATATGTATATATATACATGCCTGCATACATACACACATACCTGCATACCTACATACCTACATACATACATACATACCTACATACCTAAATACATACATACCTACATATATACATACATACATACATACATACATACACACATACATTACATACAAACATTACACACGTATATACATACAAACGAACGTACATACATACATACACACTTACATACGTACATACATACATACATACATACATGCATGCATGCATGCATGCATGCATGCCTATATAATTACAAACATTCATACATATGTACACCTATACGTGTTTTCGGATCGATTTCAATATATACATATTATAAACTATCTGTATGTGTGTGCAGATCGTTACACGTATCTTAGGACCCTCTACGAAGAGATACGATGAGATAGGAACACTCTTCGAGAGGCCCGCAATCCCGGATTTCGGGCGGCCCCGCGTGCCAGCGCGTGACTCTTTGGGTTTCTCGCATACTTGTCCCGATACCAGCGGGCGCCAGGACGGCCCAAGGAGGTCTTACGACAGTCCAAGGGGGCCCCGAGACGGTCCAAGAGGGCCCAAAGACACCCCAAATGGGACCCCAGGTGACCCCCAAGAGGGCTCCGATAGTCAACATGCATCAAATTCCTTGGTGTGTTTGGAATGTTCTGGAGGTCTCGCTTTGTTAGTCCGACTTCCACGCCGACCCAAAAGGCCTCCAAAATCACCCCGTCAGACCCGCAAGAAGGCGCCAAGACAGCCCAGAGTGCCCCAAAACGGTCTAAGAACCCCCCCGGGGAGGGCCCCATGAGGAGGACCTCAAATGAGACTTCGAGCACGTTTCCCCAACATGGCCTCCGAAACCGCCAACACGCCCCCAAAAGCCCCACGGAGGCTCCAAGAGACCCGCAGGAGGCCTCCAAGAAGTCCCTCCGAGGCTCCTGGGCCCCAAGATAATCCCCCCCCGAGAAGCCCCCGAAGAGGCACCTATAATGAGCTTCCAGCAGGCCCCCCCCGAGGGGGCATCAAACACACACACACACACACACACACATCGCCCCCGCAGCCCGCGCATGGTGGCTGGAGGGGCCGAAGGCACGCACATATTTTAATTGTGTACATGTGCATGTGCACACTTCTGTATACCAAATCCCTTATCAATCCCCCCCTAAAAACCGGACCCCCGTCCAAAAGCGACCTGATATTCTGGACCCCCCTCTTCGACGGGGCGCCTTGAGAAAAACCTGACCCCCTGAGCTCCAATCCAAACAAACCGCCTGATAAACCGACCCCCCCCAGTTACCCCAAAAGCGTCTAAAAAACAAGACCCTGGGGACGATCAAGAAGGGATTTTGAGTACAGTAGAAGCTCGAGCACAAGAAGTCTTCCACAAGAGACCCAACCCTGAGACCTCAGGACGTCCATTGATTTTGTGTATGGGAACGTCACGCCTTCCATAGCAAAACCATCGAAACCTAAGAAACCCAGGGCAACCTGGATGCAAGAAGTGTGTTTTTTGGCATGGGGTTGCACTGTAGGTGTTTTCCCAAAAAATTCAGGTGGCCACTGTCGAAGCATGGTATCGTCTCACGTTAGGAACCTGTCAGGACCCTCCCGTACCCTTGAAGAGCTTCTCGGGAGCCTCCTCAGGACTCCCCATCGCGTCTCGAGAGACTCTAAGTGGGCCCATGATGAACCTAATAAGGGCCTCTCTGGCTCTTGCCAAGGGCCTCTGAAGACACTCTCGGGACCCTCTCAGACGCCTCTCGGAGACCTCTCAGGAGCGTCTTGGGAGGCGTTCGGGAATCTGTCAGTGGCCTGTCGAGGGCCATTCGAGTCCTCCCAATAGCCTCACAGGAGCCTCTCAATAGCCAGTGATGAGCTTCTCCGGATCCTCTCAGGAGCTTTCCAAGATGATATCAGAGCCCCTCGGCCCCTCAGGCAGCTCTCGGGGGATGCTCCAGAACCTCTCAAGAGCAAATCGACATCCTGCTAGTGGAACTTCTTGCTGGGATCATGCTGTTCGCTGCTGGCCTCTGGCCACCACTCTCGAGCTCCAGAGCCAGGCTGGGGGCCCGACCTGTTGAGCTGCGCTACTTGCCCTTCCGGAAGACACCTTCCTCGCTCGCCAGCGGTGGCTGATGCTTCCCGGGGCGGGCTGCCCAACTCTCCGGCAGAGCCGCCCTCGGGTTCCGCGCTCGCGCATTGCCGCCCCGCCGCTCCTGGACTTTGTAGGTCACGTCCTGGCTCTTCAGCGCGTTGGAGACCTGGTCGGCGGAGGGGGCACGGACGAGGAGGACAGGCAGCAAAGACGCTCCCCCTGCAGACAGAGCGGCTGGCTGGCGCCGCGCGCATGGGGCACCGACGACTGGCGGCTGGACAGACCGGGCGGGAGCATAGAGAGAGGGCCCCTCAAGGAATGTGGCAGCAAGGGTTCAGCAAGACTTGTTTGTCACCGTTTGCTTTAAGATCTGCTCGGCTTGGCGCAAAAAACGGCTGCGACGATTGGCGACTGGATAGACCAGGCGAGAACATAGAGAAAGGGCCCCTCTCGAGCTCCAGACCCGCTGCCGCCCCTCAGCAGCGGCACACACGGGCAGACCGCAGGCAACACTGCAGAAGCAGGGCAACGCGAGTGCCTCAGTTGGGCTTGATGGGGCCGAGTGCAACCGCAATGACAGAAACCCTAGAAAGACTTAAAGGGCTCAGACATTCGAGCACAACGCCTCAATCCATCCTGTGAAAACTGGCCCTGGAATAGCTGCTGGGGACAAAGTCGACCGCTGACCCAATCAAGGGGCTGCATCTGGCAAGATGCTGGACTGTATCGCACTGTGATGTCATGAGAATTAATGCGTCGATTCACTATGATGCTCACGTGTTACGCAATCACCGAAGTGAGCAACCCACAAGCCTTATCAAGGCGCCAACGCCATCCGCTACCAGATGCTGATACTCTTGCGCTCGAGTGTTTCCAGTACTTGAACAATGGATCGACTACTGCATGACTTACCCCCGAAAATGATGTGTCAATTAACTCTACGGAAAGCGCGCAGGATCCTCCGTACTTACGGAGACTTCTGCGTGTGTCTCGTAGATTCGACAGTAAACTAAACTTCGAGGTAGACCAATTCTGTAGTCGATGCCCCAATCGAATAATGTAATCAAATGTTACACTTAGCTCGGGCATGTCCTCTACAGGCGGCTGTTGGACGAAAAAAAAAACTTATCCTACAAATCTTCAAAAATGGTCCCAGCCTATTGTTGGATTACTTTTGAAGATTCCTCCTGTAGGTATGTTCCTCCCGTCGTACTTACGACCACATCCCAAAAATAATTTCGAGCTCCCGGAGAAGTGTCGAAACAGTGTCGAAAAAGTGTCGGACGACTGTCTCCCAGGGCCCGACACGTGAAAACCATCGAGTTTCGGTGTCGTGTTTTGGTGCTCGAAATTATTTTTCGAGATCGAGGCTAAAGTAGGTTGGAACATCATAATCCTGCAGACGGACAGGCCCGACTTAAGCTCATGCGAGGCAGTGCCTGGTGCTCGTCGTGGGCGTGTCTGCGACGCACCTCGCGCGCGGGCCCGCGGCCGGGCTGGCCAACATCTCTCGGGCCCGCACGGGCCGCTTTTGCGTTTGCCGGCGGCGAGGTAGAGGCGGCGAGGCAGAGGCAGTCCGCACCAGCGTGGAGCTCATCTAGAAGAAGGAAATGCGAGGCGGTGATTTATCCATATCCACCGCCTGGGAACCGACGTCCTGGTGCCCCAGCGGGCGGTGGATATGGATATGTGTTGGCCTCTGGGGGCTCGATATATATATATATATATATATAAAAATATGTATTCACATCCACCGCCTGCCGAGGTCACCGAAAATTGATCCTCCAGGCGGTGGTCATGTATAAATTCCCGCCTCGGAGAAAAGCCACATAAACATGAACTTTAGGCGATCCACGCGAATTTCTTGGATTCGCGCTGGACCCCCCTCGCTGGCGCGCGGAGCGCGCCAGGGGCGGCGCCAGAGACGCCGCCGGAGCTCCAAGCGCGGATGCAAGGAATCCGCGCGGAGCGTCAAAAGTTAAGGTTTATGTGTTTTTGTTCTTCTTCGATCATTGGAGTATGTGGAAGGCAAGCCGAACGAGCCACATGCAACTGTCAGCCGTTCGGCCAGTGTGGGCCAGCTGCGGGCAGGGGTCCTCGCCTAGAAACACATGCACACGTCCGAGCGATGCTAAGGCTTCTACAAATGGACGATTCCAACAAACCCTGAACCCAAAAAGGTTGTCATTTCTGGGGAGGTCGACTTTGCTTCCACCAACTTCCGCCGAGCTTCCGCGGCCTTCCGCCGCGGGAGCTCGCACAACTCCTTCGATCCTCGAAGGCAAGGCCCTTTTTGGAACGCCTCAAATGTCAAATCATGGCACATCTCGGGCGCCGTGTCACACAAGACGCCCTCTCTCTACAGCAAGGGGGTTCCGGAACGTCGGAAAAAAAGGCTGCAACTCCGTGAGGCCCTTGGCCCTCCAAATCTTCGAACCCGCACGCGAGATAGGACACTCCCTGCCGCGACTAAACACCCCGCCCCATCAAATAATCAAATCAATACAAGAACACAAAACGGCATAAACATACACTTTTGACGGTCCGCTCGGACTTCTCGGATCTGCGCTGACCTCCCACCGCTGTGACCCCACTGGCGGCGCATCGGGCGCCGCCCCTGGCGCGCTCCGCGTACCAGGGAGGGGGGTCCAACGCAGATCCAGGAAATCCGAGCGAACCGTCAAAAGGTTCTGCTTATGCCGCTCGTTTCGTTCTTCGAGCCAAGCCTGCGGCGCTGTGGCATAACCAGACTCGAACGTGATCCCTATTACTAAGGTCGGCAAGCCGAAAGCGATAACAATCTAAGGGGTGTGCCCGCCCTCAGAAGCTGAGGGGATCCTCAAGCTCGACACCGAGGTACGCCGATGCCAAGCAGAGGGAGCTAGGGAGATGTTTGGATTTGGAAACTCCAGACGGGAAGGGGTGGCCACGTGTGGCTCCAGCGTAAGTGTGAAGGGTCCCTGGGACACACAAGTAAATAGTCACACATCCCACGATTCTCCATATCCTTCCATATGCTCTGGATTTCGTCTCCCCCACACGTCTTATATTTCCCCATAACTCCCTGGGGATCGGCGACTCATTGTGTCAGTGCGTTTCTGTCCCCTCCTGGAAAGAGTCACGTGGTAGTTCCCGACCACTTCGTGCCCTGCCGTCGCCCCGAAGGACCAAACATTTTCCGTTCGCTCCTCCTCCTCCTCCGCCTCTGCCTCCGCCTCCTCCTCCCTCTCCTCCTCCTCCTCCTCCTCCTCCTCCTCCTCCTCCTCCTCCTCCTCCTCCTCCTGTGCTCACCACGCAGGCCAGCTACCTTGGAGGAGCATGCCCTCTCGGGACTCCGGTCGGCCTTCCCGGCTCGGATGATGGTCTTTCCTGCCTCGCAAAAACCGGGGGGGGGGGCGGTGCCTGACGTGCCGCCCTGGGGGGGGGGGAGCAAGCGAGCGCCGCTGGCGGGTATGTCTGCGTGCGGTTCGTTACTCGACGCCCGGGGCCTTCCCCGACGGACGAATTGCGCTGCCTTTTCTTCGATCCCAAAAACACGAACAGGCGCGCAGAGCGAGGCCTTGATCTCCTGCGTCCGCTTGTCGAACGCGGCCACGGCGTCGGACTCCGCGGTTTCCTCCTCGGCCAGGTTCTTGGCGAAGTCGCTCTCGACAACCTCGCCCGAGAGGAACACGGGGGGGGGAGAGCCAGGGGGTGGAAGCGCAGCTGCCCGGTGGCCTTCCCAAAAACCTGTTGCCTCGCGTGCCCTCCGCACATTGGTCAGCCGCCCCGTCCGCTCCAGACATGCGATGCCTTGATTATTTCGACACATGTCGATCGGAAAAGAAAGGTAAAACAATAAAGTCGGAAGGCGGACGGCGCTGAGTGGGTTCAGGCCCTTCCAAAAACTCGCACAACGCGGCAAACGCACATCGATCCTTGAAGTAGAAGGGCGTTTGAAACAGATTTGGATCTGATAATCCCAAACTACCTACTTCCGACGACCGGCGTGCACGCGGCCCCCGGAAGTAAATTGCCTTCATCCGAACCGTACTTTTCATGCCCAGCGTCCAAGAGCGGGCGCCCAAGACAGGGGGGGCGTCAACCACGGTTGTGCGGCACGTGCGCGACCCAGGGGGCGAGGCCGAAGATGTACTGCAAGAGGGAGGGTCGCCGCGCAACCTGGGCAGATGTCGCGCCCGCCGCCACGATATCCACAACGCCCCCCCCTTTGGCCGCCCCCGAATCCCGAGCCGTCTTCTGACGGTCCCGCGAACAAGCAAGGGCCCCCAAAGGTCGAACACGACGAACAACATCCCGTCCCGTTTTCCCCAACCACGCTGTGGTGTTGGGTCCTCGCTCGGAAGAGACAGCGCCCCGCGTTCTGCTCCTTCCATCCCCCCCCCTCCTCCATCCCCCCCTTGCCTGTGCCATCGGCATGTCTGTGCATCGGCGAACCAAATTCGGGAGCGGCCGCGAGGGGGGCGTCCAAGAAAGGGGGGGGTGCAAATCATGGCCGGCGGCACGTGCGCGGCCCAGCGGGGGGGCCGGGAACGTAATGAAATAAGAAGAGGCGCCCTGGAATCTCGGGAAATATGATGGCCCCCGCCATGATATCCCTCCCCCCCTAATCATCACCCCCCTCTTTTCCGCCCCCGACAAATGAGTGTTTCGCCAGCTCTTCGTCAAAATGGGGAGCTTTCACAGCCCAATTAAACGGCAAAGCGCACGGGTGCTACTATTGGTGATCTTCTTATTGCAACAGTTTCTTGCTCAGGTCGAAACGACGCATGGAAGATGCGCTCATTGTAGCCATGGCTTAGCACGGCGTTGCGCCGTTGAACTATGGCTTAGATCGCAAAGGGCGGGCGGCCCAGCTGGCCGGGCGCGCGCGCGGCGGGTGGGGCGGCCCTTTCCTGCGACCGAAGCCAACGCAGCTTCGGTAAATGTCTGCAAATGAAGCTCAAGCAAGGCAGGGGTGTGACTAAATTATGTCTCCCCGCGGCCTCCCCGGCGAGCTCCACTCGCGCGGGCGGGCGACGGCGATTTGCCAACGCACCAAATTTGCTTACGCAGCGGCCCGTCGCACCGCGCCCGGCAGGCAGTTCGCCCGCCACCTGGCGCGCAGCGCTCTGAGACGCAGTGCATAGCACGTTTGCGTCGAGGGGGCACCGGCAGCACAGCTGCGAGCGCCCCTCGTTCTCTCTCACTCAACACCAACTGAGCTCGTCCGGCACCAGCTGCTGTAGCCTTGCCAGTCGCCTGAGCTCCAGCTCTAAGGCGACCACCAATTGTCGGCGTTCTCTCGCCACGGGGGAGCGTAATCCGCGTTGTCGCGCCGCGGCGGGGCAGGGCCCATGCGCCGCCGTGACGCGTCGGCTGTCTCGTGCAATGGCGGGGCGACGCCCGCGCGCCGGCCGGAAATCTCTCGCGGCTGGCGGCCCCGGCGCCTTGTCGGAGCTCGTTGAGGCGTCTCCCAGTCGCGAGTGCGAGCCCCACTGGGTCGGATTGTCAGCTCGGCGACGTCTTCATCCCCGATTGGTTATCTGGCGCAAGACCGCTTCGCCTCTTAACTTCCTTGCCGTCGCTCTCGGCCTCCTTGCCCTCGCCTTTCCCCATGGCATCGTCCGATGATCTTTCTGCCGTAGGACCCCCTCTGGTCTCGTAGAGCGGGGCCTCATTTCTCCTTTGGCAGACTGCGCTCCAGGGGGGGCGCCCACCCTGGCATGGCCAGGTGGTGTCGGGGCCCTTGTTCCCCGCGCTGTCCGCAATGGAGATTCCAGGGGTTCGACTGGTGGCCAGTTTGAAATTGCCTGATCGGCTAGGCTTCAGCGCTCCGCGGGGACTCTCTGCGCCGCGCGGACCCACCCATGCTGGGTTCTTCGCGACGGCGGCCCCCCAAGGAAGCGCAGTCCGGTCGAACGGTTCAAGAATGTCATAGCCACCCCCTCCCATAATCCTTCAGATGATTCAAGACCACCACATCCACGGAATAACAACGGCGTTCTGGCCAGCAGCGGGAGTCTTGAGATGTACGTTCAAGAACGTGTCCCACATGTGAGCTAGCTTCTTGGCCTTCTCCTGCTCGCAGGGATTATGCTGCTCCGGCAACTTGTCATCTGGGGATGGGGACCTTGGTTGCCGAGCAAAGACCGTCATGATGTTGCGGAGTAGCACCGTCTTGCCCTCCAGCCCACTCTTTGCGGACGCCGATGCCATCTTCGCCCGTGTCTCTCCATTCGTTATGCGCGCGTGCCTGCGCGCGGACTGGATCGCAGCCCTTCCATTTCACCCCTGCACTTTGCGCGGCAGGGCTGCAGGCGAAGCCCCCCTGCTCCTCGCGCGTGGCCAGATCATCATCTCGGAGGTCGAGTCGCGACAGAAGCGCCGAAATGAACAGGCGCAGGGCATGTGAGACAGCTCACTGTACCCAACCGATTGCGGAAACCGTTGATGCACAGACGGTAGCCATTATCCCAATACTGTTGCGCGCAGAGCGCGTTGTTCTTCGCAGTTGGAACAAGCGCGCCATCCTCGTCGACGCCACGTATCCGAAGGATGCCCTGATCTTGTTTGATCCAGTCTACGCATGCCGTGTCGAAGACAAGGAATTCTCTCAGCGCAGCGTACCTTCGGTCATGGATGCGCTGTATCCCAGACACTGTGAGACGCAGAATGAGGGGAGGAATGTCGCTCCACATGGAGCCAAACAGCCATCTCCGAAGAGCCGCCGCTACGAATCCAGATGCAATGCTTCTCGTGGATGCGGGGTTCGAAGGTGATCGAACACACTTGCGTCTAGCGCCTGGCTGGCCACTGCGCGCGCCCAGCTCCAGGTCTGAACCGCGTCGGCAATCTTGTCCGTGCATGTCGCCGCGGTGGCCCTCCCGTGCTCTCCGCGTCAGCTGAGCTGCCCACCAGATGATCTGCCCTCGCTCCGCGCGCGTAATATCGCTGACCTTCGATGGTTCGATGGCAGCCACTCGTGAATCTCCATCCCTGTGCTGTACTCGTCGTTGCGCTGATCATAAATCACCCATGTTTAAAACACGCAAGGACACTCCTGCATCTGTCGATAGACATGTTCCTGTATAGCGGGGCGGAAAGCGTCATTCGATTCCTCCATCTCGTCGGGTGTTCTCACCAACTCGTCATAGAAATGGACTAGGTCGATATCTGCTTCCATGCTCGCACCGCGAATCTCAATCACCATATGGTTGGCGCGCGTGCGCGCTAGGCCGCGATCCTCACGGGTGGCCACGCGGACGGCTACGACACGCACTATCTCACGACACCTCATAATGTTCCAGGCGGCTTGCGCGGAGATGTCTAAACGTTCTATCTCGCTCGCTCGGTGGCGGAGCCGCGACGAGGATTGTCTATCCCTGACTATCTATCTTGTTCACCATAGCCATGAGGCCCGCTGCAATCATTAGGTCAAGCCGGACAAAGCGGCCGGAACCAACGTTCTCGAGATTGAACGCGTCCGTTATCCGCCCGACTGCTTCCGCGCAGTCTGGCGACGCCGACGCCGCAGCCCTGGCCGCATTGCGCTGCAGTCGCCTGCAGTTGGCGGCGTCGGGAATCGCTTCCATGACTATTCCCTCGGTTTTGCAAGCATCATTCCAGTGCTGCGCGGCGGCAGGGGTCACGTCCATCAGGAAATTGACCGTCTCCGCCGCCTCCGGGCGGGCCGCCGCTGGGCGGTCCTCCGCCGCGCCGACGCCAGCGCAGAATCGTCGCCCCCCCATCATCGGGGGTTTGGCATTCTTCGTCATCGGGGCAAGAACCCTCATCATCCTCATCATCGCCGTCACCATCTCTGCCATCGTCGTCTGGAAGACCTGAGCCCGGGTGCTTCGGCGCTGGCACCCTTCGGGGGGGTCGCGCCATCCTTCTTGTCTTGTCGCTTGGAGACCTCTGCGACTGAGCCTCGTGCGCAGCCTTCCTCTCCCTTTCCTGGGCCTGCAATTGCTCCGCAGCAGGAGCCTCGGCACGTTGTTCGCGCACCTCCTGGATCTTCGACTTGCAGTCGGCTTGCGCCCTGCATCGCCGCATCGCTCGTTCTAGCAATTTCCCCGAGTCTCTTACCTCGGCTCTTGCGGCCTGTTCGAAGTCAAGCAGCCTCTTGGATTCAGTGCTCTCCGCAGGGCGTTCATCGCCGACCGAGGAATATTTTCAGGCAGGCGGCAGGCGGAGGCAATTGCGGGCAGTCAGACGGGCTGGCGCCTGATGCGGAGGCAGCGGCGATCCGTTCCTCCAGCATCTGTCTTGCCTCGCGTTCCTCACCCTCCTCTCCGGCGCCTTCTCTCCGCTGCTCTCTCCCCGCGTCGTCTCTCTCGGTCAGAACTGCGCGCGCGCATCTCGTCCTCCGGGACAACCCGGCCATCGCAAATGCCCCGATCGCACGAACTGCCATCGAGCGGCGCCGTTCTAGCGCATGCGAAGCACCGCGGCGCGCCCGGGCAAAGGTCACGCGCGCCTCGCCTCGGCGCAACCGGTCTCCCCGCCGCGGGCGGCGCCGGCGGCGCGGGGGCCCGCGCGGCGACTGCGCTCGGATCCGAAGTGGACCCGGCCCCCGCTGACGCCGCCGAGAACATCCCAGTCGGGTTCCACTGCATGCGCCGTTCATTAAGCTTGCGACGCAGCTTGTCCCGTTGGGCCCCCCGGCCCTCC